CATGTAGGACAACGCACGATCGCGTCAGCGATTGTTTTGTCCTGCACGACCGAGAAATATCTCGGTCGTGATGAGGGGCACGTGGGGCACTCGAGATTGCGGTTGACTAACAGGATTTCGCGCTGACTTGGCTTGCACGAAAATTCGCCAGAAAGTCTTGCTGCTTTGCGCCATTATTTCGACAGAGGTACAAAACGGTAAAGTCCGTTTGTAACTGAAGAAAACGGTAAACCCACACGAGTGACCATGATTTGTACACGAGCGATCATGAATGTTCACGAGAGGAGTCAGTAGGAGAATTTGGCAGCAGTGCAGTGGAAGACAGTTATTCTACAGAGGCAGATCAATGAGAAAACTGAAACGAGAATGAAATGACTAAGGGAAAGTTGGGTACCAATACAAACCCTAGAAAGTTGTACCCCATATGTGCTACCCCAATATAGCCTACGTTACATATGTCATATAAATCTGACACACCCCCATAGGCAAAGTGGGGGAGAACAAGGGGTCATAAGACCAGTCAAGCAAAGCAAAGCAAAGCAAGCTCAGGGTGGATCACAAAGTCACCACACATTCCGAGCACAAGGGCCACAAGGCCAGCTCACATGCAAGATTACATATATATAAGGCTAGACAAGCAAGAGTAGGAGTATATATATATGTAACAGTACAAACAAGGTCAAGGGGTGAGCAAGTGAGGTAAGGTAGGCACAAGACCCAGCTGAGTACAGAAGCGCTGATGATCACAAGGCGCAAGTGCCTTGGTGAAGATATCAGCAGTGTTGGCCTCAGAGGCCACGTACGCAAGCCGCACCTGACCATGCTGCTGTAGCTCACGAGGAAGTAGCGGAGAGCAATGTGCTTTGTTCTGTGCTCCACTCTCTGCTCTCGACACAAGGCCAGCATGGCCTTGTTGTCTACGTACAGCACTGGAGGAGAACGAGGCGGCTCTCCGAGGTCAGTCAGCAGGTAGGTGAGCCAGTGAAGCTCCTATGCAACCATGGCTCCTGCGTAGATCTCAGCCTCACAACTGGAGTCGAGAAGAGAAGACGAGCGGGTAGCCCGCCACGAAATAGAGCCGGAACCAAGGTTGAAGGTGTAACCCTGTGACGACTGTTGAAATCACTAAACAGGAATGTATGAACTAGCAGTGAAATCAGTACAAGTACCTAACCCTAGAATTCTGTACCCCCTATAGGCTAACCCATAGTAGCCTAAACTAACACAACATATATAATGTTTGACACACCCCCATAGGCAAAGTGGCGGAGAACTAGGGGTAACAAGACCAGTCAAGGCAAAGCAAGGCAAAACAAGCTCAGAGTGGATCTCAAGGATACCACACAAATTCCGAGCACAAGCAAGTGGTCACAAGACCAGTTCACATGCAGGTTTAAAATAGAGCAAAAGGTACAATGATCACAACCTAACAAGAGTAAACATGCAGGTATATATATAGAGATCACAGTACAAACAGACTCAAGAAGTAAGCAAGTGAGGTCCAGTAGGCACAAGGCCTAGAAGAGTGCAAAAGCGATGATGGTCACAAGGCTGAAGCGCCTTGGTGAACACATCAGCAGTGTTGGCCTCAGAGGCCACGTAACGCAGGCGAAGCTGACAACGCTGCTGTAGCTCTCGAGCAAGGAAGTAACGCAGAGCAATGTGCTTCGTTCTGTGCTCCAGTCTGTGCTCCTCACACAAGGCAATGGCTGCCTTGTTGTCGACGTACAGCACTGGAGGAGAACGAGGCTGCTCTCCAAGGTCGGTCAGCAAGTAGGTGAGCCAGCGTAGCTCCTGGGCCGCCATGGCTGTGGCGTAGATCTCAGCCTCGCAACTGGAGCTGAGAACAGAAGAAGAGCGAGTAGAACGCCAAGAAACAGAACCAGAGCCAAGACTGAAAGAGAAACCCTGAGACGACCGCTGAGTAGCCAGGTCGTCAGCCCAAGAAGCGTCTGAGTGCCCAGTGAGAACAATTGGGACTCGCCCTCCAAGCACTAGCCCCATGCCCGACGTACTGCACAAGTAGCGCAACACCCTCTTAGCTGCATCCACGTGCTCCTTCCGGTGACGGCCGGGAGCGACATAGCGTGCAAGAATGCTGAGAGGGTATGCAAGGTCTGGTCGAGTGCAGGTCATCAGGTACATGAGGCAACCTACAAGCTCTGGTTACGGGCCACTCAGCTCTACGGACTCATCCGAAGGCAGAGCTAAGAGCGAGTGACCGGTAGGCAGAGGAGTGGGCTGAGGCGAGGAGTACGTGAAGCGGAAGCGCTGAAGGACCTGCTGCACCATGTGTGAGTGAGTCAAGGTGATGGTGTGGCGTGCTCTGTCCTAGGTGATCCGCAAGCCAAGATAGCTTGTCAGTTCACCCAGGTCTGTGCACACGTGTCTCTTCTACAGCTCCGACTTCACGTGGGCGAGTGCCACAGTGTCAGCAGTAGCAAAGACCAAGTCGTCAACGTACACAAGGACGTAGAACGGCGGCAGTGAGGTGTCGGTGCGTAGAAACAGCGACGGGTCAGCAGTAGAAGGCGCGAACCCAAGAGCCGCAAGCGTAGTCCTCAGTGTGTCGTGCCACTCACGAGGCGCCTGGCGGAGATCGTAGACTGGCCGTGGGAGGCTCCACTGGGTACCAGGAGGGAACGACCCAGTGAAGCCAGGTGGACGGCGCAGCCAGATCTCCTTGTGCAGGCTGCCTTGCAGGAAAGCAGTGCTGAAGTCAAGCGAGTGGAGCTCGTAGTCACGCTGAGCGGCGACGTGCAGCAGAACCCGAAGAGTGGTCATCTTCGGGGTCGGGGAGAAGGTCTGGAAGAAGTCAACTCCCTCTCGCTGACTGAAGCCTCGTGCAACGTAACGCGCCTTGAAGACAGGCGTAGAGCCCGGCGGCCGCTTCACCCTGAAAATCCACATGCCACTGACGATGTTCGCCCCAGGTGGGGGAACCTCGTCGACGTAGGTGCCAGTGGACTTCCAGGAAGCCATCTCTGTGTCCATGGCTGACTGCCACTGAGAGGAGTAGGGACCGGCCATCGCCTCTGCGTAAGAGCGTGGGGTCGGGATGTTTGGTGCATCTGGGTCTCCCTCAGGGGCAACAAGCATGGACACGAGATGGGGCAAAGCGGCAGCAAAGCACTCAAACTCCTCCTGCCTGTCCTCAAGGACGTCAGTGCCAAGAGCACACTCACCCCTGACGGACGGAGGACAGACAGACTCAGACTCAGCAACTAGGCTAGCAGCGTAGTCTAGACGACAGCGAGCAGCAAAGTCGACAAGCTCAGCAACTAAGGCAGACGCAGCAGCAGACTCAAAGGAAGGGTCAGTGACAACAGTAGCCAGGAGACGCGTGACAGTAGGACTGGTAGCACGAAGAGAGTCTGACCCTGGGTCAGCAAGAGCAGGAAGAGAGGAAGCAGGAGGAGACGGTAGTGGGACACGCTGTGGAGCAGTGGACGAACGAAGCGCCATCCGGTGAGTGCCTGGGACAGCAGGAAGACGCTGACGCTGGACTCGACTACTAGAGAGAGCAGTGCGGACAGGCGACTCAGGACGAGACTCAGGCGACATAGGACGAGACGCAGGCTCACGCCGCTCAGTAAGACCTCCAGTCGGACCAGTGTAAGGAGCAGGACCAGGGAGAGAGGAGGCAGACGGTAACGCCGACTGCAACTGGACAGGTGGAGGACACGCTAAGGAGGGAGAAGGAAAAGGAGGAGGAAGCTGACCGAGAACCTGCTGAAGGAGCGGAACAAAGTACGGCCGAGACCGAGCAGCGACACCAGAGCCAGCAGGGACACCCGCACCAGGGTCTGCAGCACCAGCAGCAGCTCCAGCGCCCACGTCCTCATCACCAGCGGCAGCTCCAACGCCCGGGTCCTCAGCACCAGTAGCAGCTCCAACGCCCGGGTCCGCAGCACCAGCGACAGCTCCAACGCCTGGGTCCTCAGCACCAGCAGCAGCTCCAACGCCCGGGTCCTCAGCACCAGCAGCGACTCCAACGCCCGGGTCCTCAGCACCAGCAGTAGCTCCAACGCCCGGGTCCTCAGCACCAGCAGCAGCTCCAACGCCTGGGTCCTCAGCACCAGCACCAGCTCCAACAGCAGCGGGGTCCGTAACACGAGGCACGCCACTCCGAAGAGTGCAGCGCCGCTCGTACCACTCACGGATCCGCTCGCGGGAGGGGAGCTCCCGAACGGGAGAAGAAGCACTAGCACTAGTCCCAGTAGTACGTCCGGCTTGAGCGGTACCTCTCCGGAGGCTGCAGTACTCTAAGTACCACGCACGCAGCTGCTCCAAGGAGAGGGCTCCTCCAAGTGCAGGACTCCCAGGCCTAGTACCTCCAGACTCAGAACCCTCTGGACTCCGCAGCTAAGCACCACTAGGCTCCACACCCCCAAGCTCAGTACCCCTAGGCTCTACACCCCCAGGCTCCACACCCCCAGGCTCCACACCCCCAGGCTCCACACCCCCAGGCTCCACACCCCTAGGCTCAGCACCCCCAAGCCCAGCACCCCCAGCAGGACGAGAGTCGACAGCTACCTCAACAGGCTCAACCGGGTCTACCTGAGACACACCTGAGGGAGCGGCACCCTGAGGGGGGAGGGGGTTTGCAACAGCACCACCTGGTGCGAGGAAGAGAGGCGGGAGGGGGGGAGCGGGGCAGTGCGGTAGGGGAAGAGGCGGTAGTAGGGGACGGACTCGTCAAAAGTGACGTCCTGGGTGGGCAAGACTCGGCGCGAGGTGGCGTGGTAAAACTGCCAACCATACGCGTCCGGGACAAAGCTGAGGAAGACGCAGGGAACAGCACGGGAGGAGAGCTTGTCCGCGGACGAATCGCGGACAAAAGCTCGAGACCCCCAGACCCGGAAACGTGACGCATCGCCAACCTCCCCCGTCCACAGCAGTGTGGGTGAGGTCTCTGGCAAGGAGACACGGGGCAAGAGGTTGAGCTGATGCGCAGCGTACCGGACCGCAAACGGCCACAGAAAGTGGGGGGCAGCCGCATGGATCAAGGAGGTACGGGCGACCCCCATTACCAGGCCAATGCGGCGCTCCGCAACCCCATTATGGTGTGGAGAAGCCGGAAGCGTGAACGACTGCTCAATGCCGTGCTTAGCACAGTAGGCTGCCAAGAGGTCGGAGGAGAACTCACCACCTGTGTCAGAGTGCAAGCGCAGGACAGGAAAGTCCGAGTGAAAACGCTCGCTGAGCTGGAGACGGGCTCTGCGGATCCAAGGGATCAAGACATCAGGGACCTCACCCTTGGTGCGCAAGGGGAAGACTGAGGTGTAGCGCAAGTAGTCGTCAACAACTATCAGGAAGAACCTCTCCTGACCCTGACCACGGACGCAGGCTGGGCCCCACACGTCCATGTGGAGTGTCTGCAAGGGAGAAGTCGTCGGGGGGAACGAGGAGGAGTGAGGAGCGGCGCGCTGCCGTCCCTCGACTTAGGGGAGACAGGTAGGAGCAGGCGAGGGTGGGAGGGCAGGAAGGACCCTGGGCAGGCCAGAGACAAGGTACTGGGAGTGCATGGCACGAAGCCGCTGCACAGACGGGTGGCCAAGGCGGTGGTGCCAGAGGACAGTCTCGTGTGCCAAAGAGCGACACGAGCAGGGGGCGGACAGCTGACCTGACGCGGACGCGGACGCAGTCGCAGCAACTTGAGGGGACTCAGTAGTCAGTGTGTACAGGTCCGACCCCGGCTGCCGAGTGAAGGTAGCCAAGTGACGGCCCGTACGAGCACACGTGCAGTGTGTCACGCGCTCGTAGGCAGGGGTGAACTGGTGAACACCCCCGTCCTGGAGTGCACATCCTGCCACCAAGTTCATAGAGAACGAGGGGAGGTGGAGACCTGACAGTGTGCCCGACGGGACCGCAGGGCAGGGAAGGACTGTGGAAGAGGTCGCAATGAGCGGACCCCCAGAGGGGTCAGCAAGGGAGATAGCAACTGGCCGAGCAAGCGGCTCAAGGGCAGTGCGGTCACGAAAGAAGCAGCGAGAAGCACCTGAGTCCAGTGTGAAAGTGTGCAGTGCAGCTGTCGACGCAGTACCAAGGGGGGGAGACACACGAGCACCTAGAGCAGCAGCCTCACCAGCACCTGGGGTAGCCGACACGCGAGAACCTGGAGCGGCAGACGCACTGGCCCTAATGCCCGGGTCGGGCGGCACACACAAGTACTCAGCACCCTCTCCACTAGTAGACATCACATACATGGCAGATAGAATAGCATCAAAGTCTAGAGCATAGATATCAATCCCCTTCTTCAGGAGATCAAGCCAGCGGGGCAGCTCAGTGGCCTGAGGGAACTGAACACGCCAAGCGTCGTCCAGACGAGAGAAGCAGCGCTGTGTGGTGTGCAGTCGTCCACACTGCTGACCAGTGCGGTCACCAGTGCGAATGACGTACGTGCAGCTAAGACCACCCCCACCCCCGTGCTGAGAGTACCACTCACGGACCTCCTGGGGCGAGGGAGTGTGCTGCTGGCCCTGGTCACCGCCTGTGCCTCCACGGCCACCACCACCGCTGCCACCTCCTTGACCACCCCAACCCCTGCCGCCGCCTCGTCCACCGCCAACCCAACCGCCGCCTCCACTCCTGCCACCTCCCCCGCCGCTGCTGCCACCACCCCCACCGCTACCACTCGCCCCTCCAGTCGAGCCACCACCCCCACTGCCTCCACCGCCCCCACCGCCTCCTCCCGCGCCGTCACCGCCACCACCCTTGCCCCCTTTGCCCTTGCCGCTGCGACGTCCGCTCAAGGCAGACGCAGCGCCGACCTTCTCAGTACCAAGAAGGTCGACAGCAGCAGCAGAGGCGACAGAGGGAAGGGAGGAAGGAGAGCACCCCTCAAAGAACGGGGTACGGGGGTCGCCACGAGAGGCACCTACAGCGACTATGCTAGTCTCAGCTGCAAGTAGCTCCTTCTCGAGGAGGGCAATGGTGAGCTCAGTGGGGCAACGAGCTAGGAAGTGGTCCCTGACAGCACGCAGTGTGTCAGGGAGGCGGGTGACTAGGTGGTAGAGAGTGAGCCAGAGTAGAGGGGGGTGCCTGGCAAGGAACTCAGCAGGCATGGTGGCACGGAAGCGGGCCTCACTAGTACGGAGGTGCATGATGAGGTTAGCGACTATGTGAAAGGAGGCCAGGTCGGGAAACAGGTAGGGGAGGGAGAGACGGCCTAGTGCGGCAGAGGCAGGTGAGGAGTAGCGAGCAACTACAGCTGTGTATAGTGCCTGTGCAGTCTTGTGCTGACCAAAGTGCTCACGTTCGTCTATCGGCAGGGAGCTGCGAATGGCGAAGCGAGCGTGGGCATCACGAGTCTGCCACTGTGAGCGAGCAGTGCTGTCAGCAGTAGCAGCACGGGCAGTGACATGGCCTAGGGCGTGATCGTACAGTGAGATGTCATCCTTGGCTGTGAGCTGTAGGTAGAGGTGCAGGTCATCGAGCCAGGTGTCAAACTTCACAGGGCGGCCCTCAGCATCGAACACGAGAACCTGTGGGCTAGCCATAGGAACAGTAGAAATAGCAGCAGTAGCAGTAGGAGAAGCAGGTAGGACGAACCAGGTAGGGCAGGGCGGCGCGGCTCGGTTCAGGTCGGGTCGCGGCTCGGCTGGGTGGCGCGGCTCGGCTCGGGGCGCGCGGCTCGGCTCGGGGCGCGTAGCTCAGGTCGCGCGGCTCGGGTCACGGCGGGGACGGGCCGCCCGGGGCCTCTAGGTGGTGGGCATGGGTCGGCGAGGTCGGCACGGGGCCCGTTGGGGCCCTAGAGGGGCGAGCGCGGGGCCGATCGGGGCCTGATTGGGGCTAGCGCGGGGCCAAACGGGGCCTTGACGGGGCTAGCAAGGGGCCGACAGGGCCTGAACGGGGCTAGCGCGGTGCCGACGGGGCCTGAAACGGGGCTGACGCGGGCCCGATTGGGGCCTGAATGGGGCTAGCGCGGGGCCGACGGGGCCTGAGAGGGGCTAGCGCGGGGCCGACGGGGCCTGAAACGGGGCTAGCGCGGGCCGACGGGGCCTGAGAGGGGCTAGCGCGGGGCCGACGGGGCCTGAAACGGGGCCAACGGGGCCTAAAACGGGGCTAGCGCGGGTCGACGGGGCCTGAGAGGGGCTAGAGCGGGGCCGACGGGGCCTGAAACGGGGCCGACGAGGCCTGAAACGGGGCTAGCGCGGGGCCGACGGGGCCTGAACGGGGCTAGCGCGGGGCCTGAACGGGGCCTTAAAGGGGCCGACGAGGCCTGAACGGGGCCGCTAGGGAGAGCGGGCTTGGGGCCGACGGGGCCTGAACGGGGCTAGCGCGGGGCCGTCAAGAGGGGCCTCTAGGAGCGTGACACGCCAAGGCGCCCTAGAGCACAGGTAGGTAGGTAGGTAGGTAGTTACGTAGTGGTGGGCCCTTAGAAAATTTCGGTCCTAGGAAGGACCTGCTCTATACCATGTTGGAATCACTGAACAGGAATGTGTGAACTAGCAGTGAAATGAGTACAAATACCTAACCCTAGAATTGTGTACCCCCTATAGGCTAACCCACTGTAGCCTAAACTAACACAACATATATAATGTTTGACAACGACCGCTGCGTAGCCTGGTCGTCAGCCCAAGAAGCGTCTACGTGCCCAGTGAGGACCACTGGACTCTGCCCTCCAAGCACAAGCCCCATGCCCGACGTACTGCACAAGTAGCACAACACCCTCTTCGCTGCATCCATGTGCTCCGGTCTGTGTCTCCCAGGAGCAACATAGCGTGCGAGAATGCAAAGAGGATATGCAAGGTCAGGTCGTGTGCAGGTCATCAGGTACATGAGGCAGCCAACAAGCTCTGGGTACGGGCCACTCGACTCTACGGACTCATCCGAAGGCAGAGCTGAGAGCGAGTGGCGAGTAGGCAGAGGAGTGGCTTGAGGCGACGAGTACGTGAAGCCGAAGCGCTGAAGGACCTGCTGCACCATGTGTGACTGAGTCAGGGTAATGGTGCGGCGTGCTCTGTCCCGGGTGATCTGCAAGCCAAGGTAGCTGCGCAGTTCACCCAGGTCAGTGCACGTGTGTCTCTTCTGCAGCTCGGACTTTACGTGGGCGAGTCCAGCAGTGTCAGCTGTGGCAAAGACCAAGTCGTCGACGTACACGAGGATGTAGAACGGCGGCAAAGAAGTGTCGGTGCGCAGAAACAGCAACGGGTCGGTAGTAGAGGGAGCAAACCCAAGAGCCGCAAGTGTAGTCCTCAGTGTGTCGTGCCACTCACGCGGTGCCTGGCGGAGACCGTAGACTGGCTACCGGAGGCTCCACTGGGTGCCAGGAGGAAAAGACCCTGTGAAGCCAGGTGGGCGGCGCAGCCAGATCTCCTCGTGCATGCTGCCCTGCAAGAAAGCAGTGCTGAAGTCAAGAGAGTGCAGCTCGTAGTCACGGTGAGCAGCTATGTGCAGCAGTACCCGAAGAGTGGTCATCTTCGGGGTGGGAGAGAAGGTCTGAAAGTAGTCAACTCGCTGCCGCTGACTAAAGCCACGAGCCACGTAACGCGCCTTGAAGACAGGCGGAGAACCCGGCGGCCGCTTCACCCTGAAAATCCACATGCCACTGACAATGTTTGCCCCAGGAGGGGGAACGTTGTCAACGTAGGTGCCTGTGGACTTCCATGAAGCCATCTCTGCGTCCATAGCTGCCTGCCACTGAGAGGAGTAGGGACCCTCTATCGCCTCCGCGTAAGAGCGCGGAGTCAGGATGTCAAGTGCATCCGGGTCTCCCTCAGGGGTAAGCAGTACGGACATGAGATGAGGTGACGCAGCAGCCAAACACTAGAAGTCCTCCTGCCTGTCCTCAAAGACGTCCGTGCGAAGGGCACACTCACCCCCGACGGACGGAGGAGAGACAGACTCAGACTCAGCAACAAGACTAGCAGCGTAGTCTAGACGACAGCGAGCAGCAAAGTCGACAAGCTCAGCAACTAGGGAAGACGCAGCAGTGGACTCAAAGGAAGGGTTAGTGACAACAGTAGCAAGGAGACGCGTGACAGTAGGACTGGTAGCACGAAGAGAGTCCGACTCATCAGTCGGTAAGTGCAGGAAGAGAGGACTCAGGAGAAGAAGGCAAAGGGGCACGCAGAGGAGCAGTGGACAGACGCAGAGACATCCGGTGCGTGACATCTGGAGGACGCTAACGCAAACCACGACCACTAGCGCGAGCAGCACGGACAGGCGACGCAGGGCGAGATGCAGGCACACGACGCTCAGCAAGACCTCCAGTAGGACCAGTGTAGGGAGAAGGAGCAGGCAGTGGGGAGGCAGGCTGTAGTCGTAACTGCGACGGGACTGACTGTGGACACGCTAAGGGAGAAGGAAGACCAGTAGAAGGCGGGAGACCAAGAACCTACTCAAGGAGCGGAACGAAGTACGGCCTAGGCCGTGCAGCGACTCCAGACACAACAGGGACAGCACCAGTACCCCCAGTGGTAGCACCAGCACCAGCAGCTCCTCCAGCTCCAGTACCCCCAGCAGCTCCAGTTGCTCTAGGACCTGAAGCAACACCAATAGCACCCCCAGCAGGACCGCCTCCAGTACCGCCAGCAGCACCCTCAGCGCCAACACCCTCAGCAGCTCCAGCTCTAGTCAGACCACGAGAAGATGTAGTGGCTCCAGCTCCAGTAGTACCCGCAGGCCCAGCAGCTCCAGTACTCCCAGTACGAGCACCTCCGGGACCCGTGGCACCAGCACCCTCAGCAGCCGAAGAACCTCCAGCTCTAGTAGCATGCCTCCAGCGGCGGGCAAACCACTCACGCAGCTCCTGTGGTGAGAGTGGCTCCCATCAAGACGCAGCACCCGGAGAACCGCCAGGCCCAGCACCGCCAGACGCCACACGAGCAGGCCCAGCTCCCTCAGGCTCCGCACCCCCAGGCTCAGCACCTCCAGGCTCTGCACCCCCAGGCTCAGCCCCTCCAGTCGTAGCACCCCCACGCTCAGCACCCCCAGGCGCAGCACCCCCAGTCGTAGCACCCCCAGGCTCAGCACCCCCAGACTCAATACCCCCAGGCTCAGCACCCCCCAATCGTAGCACCCTTTGACTCAACACTCCCAGGCTTAGCACCCCCAGGCTCAGCACCTCCAGCAGCACCAGAGTCACCAGCGACCTCGACAGGCTCGACTGCGTCTACCTGGGACACACCTGAAGGGGCAGGACCCTGAGGGGGAAGGGGGTCTACCGGGGGGGGACCTGGCACAAGGAAGAGCGGTGGCCGAGGGAGGGACGGAGTGCGGTAGGGGAAGAGATGGTAGTAGGGGACCGACTCGTCAAAGGTGACGTCCTAGGAGGACAAAACACGGCGAGAGGTGCGGTGGTAGAACTGCCACCCTGGCGCGTCAGGGGGGAAGCCAAGGAAGATGCAGGGAGCAGCACGAGGGGACAGCTTGTCCACAGACTAGTCGCGGACAAACGCCCGAGATCCCCAGACCCGGAACGCCGACGCATCGCCAACCTTCCCCGTCCACAGCAAAGCTGGGGAGGTCTCCGGCATGGAGGCCCTGGGCTGAAGGTTGATGTGATGCGCCGCGTACCGAACCGCAAACGGCCACAGAAATTGGGGGGCAGCCGCATGCATCATAGACGTACGGGCGACGTCCATGACCATGCCAATGCGGCGCTCAGCAATCCCATTTTGCTTTGGAGAGTCCGGAAGCGTGAATGTCTGGCGGATGCCTTGTGCACGACAGTAGGCTCGCAGAAGGCCAGAGGAGAACTCTCCGCCTCTGTCAGAGTGCAGACGCAGAACAGGAAAGTCCGAGCCAAAACTCTTCCTGAGCTGGAGACAAGCTGCGCGGATCCAGTCGATCAACACCTCAATGACATCACCTTTGCTACGCAAGGGGAAGACTATGGTGTAACGCGAGTAGTCGTCAACCACCAGCAGGAAGTAGCACTCGTGACCCTGTCCACGGACGCGGGCTG